GGCAGCAGGGGGGAGCAGGGAGGGGGGACTTCTGCGGTGCAGGTGTCGGGGGGTGAGGGGTGAGGGGTGAAACCGAAAAACGGAATTACATGCTCGCGAATGGCAGCCGAAAACTTTTCATCCTGTAGGACTGACGGCAAAGAAACCCTCTCGGAAAGGCACATCCAAAGAGATGGCGAGAGAACCTAGCCAATGCAGTCATCGACAAATATACAAACAAACAAAAGAACTAACATACATACATACATACATACAACATACATACAGATGCGTATCAAGAAACAAAACGCCACGTGCTCACCTCCATCTGCTCAGGCGTCAGCACTGTGGGAGGCTGGATGACACCGCCGTACAAGTCCTGCATAACGGTATGGCAGTACGGCAACGACCATAATAGTAAACTCCTCTTTACAGGCGTTGTTCTGCCTATAAGGCAGAATAACGTCAGCTTGAAATCCACAAGTGCATGTAATGTGTAATGTACATATGCACCGGACACAGGTGACCACAGGCAGCGCCAGAAGCGGGACCAGGAGAGGGGCGCGAAGGGGAGTTCAATACCAGACGAGGCCCTGTAGGCACTCCCGTACTTCCCGTACACTTAACGGCATGCCGACGACCTCTCCTCCTCCCCCTCCTTCCCCTCCTCCCACTAGCAATCACAAACACAACCCGACTGCGCCGCCAAACCCGCCAAGCCCACCTGCAGCATCACTTGCGCCTGACAAAGCTGCATCACCGCTGTACAGCCCCCGCGTACAGGACGTCGCAGTAGCGGTAGCAGTAGCAATAGCGTTTTTGTGAATGTGGACAGCGGGGGGAGCGGGCAGGCAGGCAGGCAGAATCATTTCTCGGCCCGTAAATAATAAATATATATTATTGAACGTCACCATCGTCTTTATCATCGCCATTGTCGCTGTCATACTATCAGCGGCATCACAGAAGGAAATCTAACCGTACTACATCCGTACTACATCCGTACCACCTTGTATGTGAAACAGCTGTTTGCCAGTTTATACAAAAAACGGCGAAAGGTTTGCTGCTAAAACAAAACCAACACCCCGCCTTCAAAACACCCAAACCCTCTCATCAGATGTGCGCAACCTTTCCCCAAGTCAACCCCGTTATTTACCCCCCCCCCAAAAAAATCCTAGAACCGAAAATACTAAGAACCTCCAAACGCATACCCCCCCTCCCCCCCACTGAAGCACGCCGTGCCGTTTTGAGCCGCTCACTAGACTTCACACACTGGGGGGCCGAAAACACACAGCTTTAAAGTGAAGGGAAAAGGCGTGGTTATTATATAGACGCAGTTCCTCGCTCGCCACAAGGAGTATAAACATATATATATATATATATATATATATTGATATGGCCCCCTCCCCCCCTTGTATGTTCGTCTGTCAGTATGTCTGCATGTGAACACCGTGGGGGCAAGTACTGTCAAGGTCCACGCAGTGGAGGAAAGAGAGAGATTCGTACATTTTCGTACATTCGTACATACACACATCTCCCACCCACTCACCAGGCACTCCCAGCCGACGGATGTCGAGCCCCCGGAGCCTTTGAAGCAGCGCCTCCAGCAGCGTCTCGTCCACGTGGCTCAGTACGGCAAAACACCACAATAAATTGACCAGAGCTCGGGGGGGAAGCAAGCGCTGCTGCTGCTGTTGCTGCTGCTGTTGCTGCTGCTGTTGCTGTTGCTGACTCTGACCTTGTACTGACGCCGCTGCTTCCCCGGGTTTTGATGCGTGTGGCGGCGGGGGGGTTGGTGTTGATTGTGGTCCGTGTGATGCGGGTGGTGCAGTTCGCGCGAGAGCCTCCCCCGCCAGTGCTCGGAACAGAACTGGGTCGTAGTGGTGGAATTGGGCCAGAGCGCTCGCGGCTGCCACCAGGTCGCGCGGGCTGCAATCCACCAGACGGTACCTGCACAAATTGATGATTGATACGTATATTATATTATATTTTTCATATAATAATATAATTATATTATATTTTTCATATTATTTATTTATTTATTTTTACAAGCACATTCAGTTAAATTAAAAAGACAACTATCGGCAATTGCAACCGAGCTGCTTTTCAGGACCTGTTGTTAATCAAAAAAGAGAAGAGCTTTGTTTTGAAAAATTGCCAGGTAGGACAGCAGTGCATTTCAAAAATCCAAAGGTTAAAAAATTGTCAAGCAACATGCCTGTACGGCAGAAGATGTACGGCAACGTTGGTTGGCAGGGTTGGCCAAATTGGGCATCGTACCTGATGTATTCAGAAAAGGCAACCAGAAGCGGGGGGCTGTAGTGACGGGCTCGCGCCATGCTCCACACGAGCCGGCTAGCCAGGGCGGGGCCGTAGCGCTCCAGGTCCCTGGCGGCGGTAGCTGCTACAGCCTCGTACAGCTCCTCGTTATAGTAGTTGCTGGTGGCCAGGCAGTAGCAGATGTTGGTTAAAGCCTGTACGACACAGGGAGGTTTTAGCGCGTCGACGAGTGAAGTGCCGTACACTTCATGGATTTCTTAAGTTTTTTGTGCAATCCGTGATTTTTACACAGGAATAATATTTTTAGGAGGTTTGGGGGGCCTCCGGGCTTCGTCTTCGACGTACATGTGGGTCCATCACGCCAAGCTGTAGCCGCCGTAGAACTTCCTGCCGTACACAGCCCACCAGCGCCGCCGAGTAGTGCCGTACACGGAAATGCGCCATCAACATCATCGCCATGTCCCTATCGTTGAACAGAGCCAGGCCGTTTCGCGCAGCAAGTGCCGCTGCCACCGCCGCCTCCAAGTACGACACACAACGATGTTGCCCAGGTGCTGCCGCTTGCGCCAGGGCCCATGCGAGCACCGATGCCGAGTGTGAATCGTACCGTGGTACGGCACTGGCAACGCCATCGGGCATCTGTACTGCAGTTGTACCCTGACCCTCCTCATCCTCCACCTCTGCGGTCGTCACGCCCCTCATGGCACCGAGTAACGCCGCCGCTGGCGGCGCCGCCACCGGGTCATCAGGCAGCACCACGGCTGTCGTCGCCGCTGCCGCGGCGGCGGCGGTCGCTGACAACAGCTCCGTCGCCCGCACGCCCACCTCCGCCAGGAGCTGCCGCGCCGGCCGCTGCCGTACATGCAGCCCCGCGGTCACCACCCCCCAGGCGACGTTGGCCAAGTGCTGCATCGTCATGGACCCCACAAGCGGTGCCGCCAGACTGATCAACATGCCGTACATCTTGTCACACAGATCAGGGTCTGACGTACGGCCGCTGCCGCCGCCGCCGCCGAAACCCGCGCTGGGCCTTTCGTCGCTGGAAAAGCCCAGTGTGCTGAAGGCCCAGAACAAATTGGCGACACCCAACGGCCCAAACCTGGTTGAACACCGGACCGAGGCGGGGCGAGGGGGGGGGGGGGAAATGGGTTTTGGGTTTTGGGTTTCGTACACTAGGTTCAGTTAGGCAGGGGTGCGCATCTTACACCCCTTCCCCCCATAGCAAAACACAAGTGATGGAAGGGGTCCATTGCAGGTCAAACACACAAAGTCACACACACACACACACACGCACCGGACAGCTCATCCCCCAGTCGAACGAGTGTACGACACTCCCGTCCAACCGAACCGCCTGGCGCCGACTAGCTCGCACAGTCCCCCCTAGCACTAAGTCGTACATTCACAAATGCACTCGTACAGATTGATGGCGCGCCATCCTTGCACGCTCCCCCTCACTCCCCCTCATCCCTCCTCGCCGCCCACCTGACGCGATGCCCCCGGGCAATGCACTCCGCAGCAGCTTCTAGAAGCTCCGGATGCCGCTGTCCGCACGTGGCAAAGCTCCACAGCGTGTTGCAGAGAGCCTAGGGTGGCTCTCCAGGGGGGGGTCCGAGAAGAGGGCAGGATTGATTACGTGATGTGGAGAAGCAAAAAGCAACAGATGTCGGCCAACTGCTGCCGCCAAGTCCAAAGCTGGGGTGAATGAGGGGGCCATGTGTGTCTGTCTGTGTGTGTGTGTGTCTGTCTGTGTACGTGCAAGAAAATGGCGTCAAACAATTGGTTGGCCGATCAGTGCCAAAATAGGACACATGAGCCCCCCTAAAAATAGCTACAAGGTACAGCTGCTTGTACTGTGCGTACATGTTCGTTGATCTGTCTCCTGACCTCCGAGGTTTCGTTTGTTGCGTTTTATTGAAGAGCTTACCCCTGAGTGGGGGCCCGGGTGGTGGCTGGGTCTAGGCCTCTAGGCATTCGATGGTGACGCAAAAAGCAAGGGAATCAACTAATAAATGCCAATAAACAGCCAAGGTCCGAAAGGAACAACTCCCAGCTCCGTACGGGAAATCAATGGCAAGTCAATGGTAAACCCAGTGGCAGCCGCATTGGAGGACTCCGTGCCGAATCAGGATGAGGTGAGGTGGATGGGGTGGTGGGGGGGGAGGGGGTCGAGGGGGTACCAGCTCTCTCCGAGGCTGTGTGACACCCCCCCTTCCCCCCCATTTCATACACACACACACACACACCTGTGGGGGCATCTTGACGCGCCGGATGGCATCCGCCGCCACCAGCCCCAGCTCCCTCCACCAGAGCTCCTGCAGGCGCTCCCAGTCCCCTGGCCCCGTCGCCGCCGTCGCCGTCACCGCTGCTGTACTGGTGCTCCCGGCCCCCGCGCCGGCGGCGTCAGGCCTGATGCCTAATTTGGCAATAGCCCATGCTAATTTGCTGAGCTGCTTTGAATCGAGCTCCGAGAGGCGTGCCGCAGCGCGTCGCGTCGAGATGCGCCTCTGTTGTGGGTACGGCGGCGATTCCGCCACCGTACATTGGTCGTGGCCGGGCGACCCATGGGTCGTTAATTTTTCTGGCGGTTGCTTCTGACTGTTGTACGGAAAGGTAGGTTGGGGGGTAGGTTCATCTGCTGGCTGATTGCCGTACGAATCCGGTATTGAAGCTGGGTCCGACAAGAGCTCGCGCTGCACGGCCACAACAAAGTTGACCACCAGGTGCTCGCGGGAGCCAGCAGACCCCAGCTGCGCTAGCGCCCAACAGCAGTGAGAAAGACTTCCAGCAGGCAGGTTTGAAACGTGCGGCAAAAGAGAGATCAAGATGGAGCGAACGGACTCGATGGTATCGGGTGGCCATTGGGACCGGCGAATTTCTTTGCAGCGCCATCCCAGAGCACCAAGCTCCTGAACTCGTTGCAGCGCGATTTGGTCGGCGGCCTTCCCCAGAGGTTGATGCTGCCGTGGTGTCTGTTTGTATTGGCTGCGCTGGCTATTTTGGGGTGCGAAAGCTTGGGGACTACCATGTTCCGTACTCGCTGCTGGCTTTACGAGAGCTGTGCAGCAGCTAAATTGTGGCCGACGCGCCGATATAAGCCGAAGCCTGGCCGCATCGCTTAGAAGTTGCGAGTCAAGCCAAAGGGTGGTTGAGACACCGAATTCCGCTCGCCGAAACGTTGATCGGGGAGCTAATTCCCTAAAAATCATAACGGAGATGGAGACACAGATGATGTAAGAAACGAGAGAGATGTCATCGAATGCCTGGACAAGCAGAACCAGAGCAGACGTTCATACTGTACGACTTTGTCGTGCGCGACAAGATGAACAGCAATAACTCGGCATGGATGGCTATTTCCGCAAGGTAGAGCAGTGAGCCCACGCTGCCGGCATACTGGCTCACGGAACCTTTAGAGAAACGACAGCTTTTGCCGAAACGATTGCAGGCGCAGCATTCTTTTAGCACGCGCTGCTAATACAGGGCAAGGGCTTTGAATCTTGAGGATTGTGCTTTCACGTGATATTCCTGGCTAGGGCCTGTTAATTGCGGTTTGTGGTTAATCAACGTGCGACACCATCCGCTAGGGAGGAACATGTTTCGGGCGCGTGCTTCTGGCTTCTTTGTCGGCTTTGGCGTTGCAGGAGTGCTTGCCGCCTACCAGATAAGGAAGGACATACTGAAGTCCCATGAAGTTCTGCACGAGCAGGTGCGAAGTGACAGTTGTTTGCAGTGTATCCATTTCACTGGATGGACGAAACGTGGCTATTGAGGTATAACGCTGGGGAAAATCGTATGGCTCCATGTGCACTCTGCCATTCAAGAATCTACCCCTTGTCCCGGGCCTAACTTTTTAAGGTACACCCCTTGTTTGTCTACGACAACCCCTCCATAGCCACATTATCGCACCTGCCTTTCGCTGTAAGATTTGCAATTTAAGCCGTCCAGGGTAACCAGCACGTTGCTCGACTCCTGCAGGGCGACAAGTATCGGCAGGGGTTGGAGCAAAGAGTGGCATCTTTGGAAGCGACCGTGGCAAAACTGAAATCGGCGACGAGGACGCCCGTAGCCGTTGCTGAGGCTCCCGCAGCAGTAGCAGCGGCAGCAGCAACAGAGCCGGGCCAATCTCAATAGGAGCCGCCCTGCAGAATTCCCTGCAATAAATCTGTGATTCGCTGGATGTGCGCTTGGAAGCCTTGTGCTTTATAAAGGAAGACCATGTTGCCGCGTCGACAACGGGCGACGACCTGCCGCGCATAGTTGGGTTATCGCCCTCGATCGTCACCTTCAACGCTGTGGGATGACTTCCAAGTCCTAGCGTATGTGGGTCAGGCTGCTTCGGCTATGGAAGGCGACCGGAAGGATGCTCGTGGTGTAATCTGTTCCGGTACCCGAGGCTTGGCCAGCGCTTTCTTTCCGTGCCAGAATCTGTCAACCCGGGCCGGACGCCCAGCTCCTGCACAGAGAGCATCCGTCCGTCCACTTTATGGGACTCTCCATGCACACGAGGACCTCCCAGCACTTGGGCTCAGCACCATGTGGAGTGCGCAACATGTACGATGCGGTTATCGCTTCCAGGCCGGTTAGCAAGCCTGATAGGAGCTTGATAGGAATGTGGGTGTGCAGCACTTCACGCAGATGGGGGCATTGCGCGGCGGCTGGCACGGTGGTAGTGGTAGTGCGGTAGCTGACTGATGATGAAGAAGACGAAGGTGCAGATCTTGCCTGCCAGATCTACTTGCGCAACAAGAGCGAGCCAACTTAAAGGGGGAATGGAAAGGAGGACGGATAGGCGGCCGTGTTGTAAAAGCAGGCGGTAGCGGCACAAATACCCTCCTCCATCCGTAGGCTTGCAAGTCTCGCAAATGCAAGTCTTGTCATTGGAGAACATGTTGCACATTTGTATGCCCCCAGTTTGAATGACCGAGACTTGTATCCTGTCCGACGGATTCGGTTTCGGATAGAGCTGCACCGCTCTGATGGTCGATCCAGATCCTTTCCTGGCAACAAGGACGGAGGGAAAATAGCAGAGATGTGAGGATGAAAAGCGCCAGTTGCCGCTTCCTCCACGCCCAGTCCACCCGGCCTGCTGTTGCCTGCCTGCCTTTTTAGGCACTTGAATAGATAGCTAGGTAACCTGCTCGAGAACCTCCGTCTCCAAGCGTGTAGCGTCGCCTGCACTCAGTAGCGTGAACCAGATCATCCACATGTGGTTTTTACATCCACATGCTTTTCCTTAAGCTGTAAGATGCTCTGAGATGGAATTAAGAGGCTCGCTTGCAGGAAACGCGCCTCACGCCGTTGCATGCCTAAGTCCTCTTAAAACGGTAGCAAGCCGCGACCATCAGAGGAGGCAGACCAAGGGGGGAATAAGGACAGGGCAAACCTAGCCCAACTAATCCGGGACACACCCTAAACCGAAGCGAGGGTGGTCAGCTTCCTCGAAGCTGAAAGGGCTCGGCCCCGGTGCAGCCAGCAGTCGCCCCGCAGCATTCCGTAGGGGAGGCTGTACGGCGCTGGGCTGCAAGTGGAGGAACGGTGTCGTGTTTGGACTACATACGCTCGTTATTATGGATAGCTGCGACGGCTGGGTGCGGCGGCCGGCGGCGTTGCAGTGATGTATGAATCTGGTGTATACACCTTGCGAAGGCACCAACGCAAATCCATATGGACGGTGCATTGATAGAGAATTGTGATACCTTTTAAATGCACTTTTCAGTTCAGCGTGGCATGCAAGTTCAGCGTGAGACGCAAGACGCTGACTGACAGACTGACTGACTGACAGCAGTGCACCCCGGGGGCCTCGGGCCCCGACGTGCCCGGGGCCTCGCCTAAAAACCTGCACCCAACTTCAGGGCGCAGATGGGGCACACTACGCTGCCATTGAGAAGGACACGTGACCACGCACGCACGTTGCAAGGCCGCCTAGGTCTCATACGAGAGTGAGAGGCTGCTGTCCTTTCATGTCGCCTTATCACCTGTGGCAAAACCGTAGCACTCTCCAGCCACTCCGCTCTTATTGCTGAGTTAGCTTTGCAACTGACTGCGGCACTGACCCGAATTTTGACCGGTAGGCTGCTGCTTCACAGGACGACGTGAAGTATGCCGCACTGAGCAGCAGACAACTCTTCACGGAGACGCAAAAGAGGCCTTTCTTACCGTGTAAAGATGGCCAATCAGCGACAAGGCTGCCGTTAAATGTGCCCTGACAAGCCTTCCAAGCAAAATCAGCAACAAATGTAACGTGCTGGTAAGGTGCTCCTTCAACAGCATCGCGGCTTCTGCCCTTGTCTCTTCGGAGCCAAGCGGGGGGTACCAAGAGGGGGGAGTTAAGTGCCTGGGAACGACAAAATCCGGCCCAAACAGAAGTTAAAATAGGAGCTGTTACAGGGGATCAGAACCGATCAATAATCCTCGCAACCAACAAACAAGTCGCCTTGTACATACTTGATCCCCATAGATTCCCCCTATAACCCACATCCCCATAATTTTTAAACATCGGGTGGACCCACAGCCCGGCGGCCAGTTGCGATCCCTTCCACGAGATGGGCCAGGAGATGGAGGGTGGGTGTATGCCGTTCCAGCTTCCACCACCGTTGCCATTGAGGCCGTGCTCTCGCTGTGACGGTGGCGTGTTTGATATCCCTGAAACGTTCTAGAACGCAGAGCGCTGCTGGGCTCGCCGTGCCGTCCGAGCCGCAGCGCGGCCCGCCAAACTGTCCGAGCCCCCAACACCATCACCATCACCACCACCGCTATCGTCCGCCGCAATTGTCTCCAAGCCGTCGTCACCATCGTCAACGGGGGTCCCCGTACCCGCAGCCATCACCGCCGCCGCACCAGCGCCGCCACCTCCCCGGCCGCTTTGAGGCACGGAACGCTCGCCATAGCCGCTGTTGGTACGGCTGATGGGGCCGCCAGACACTGACGTGGGTCGCGACGGCGGCGCCGCCCTATCGTTACCAGGCGCAGCGGCCTCACCGCCTGCCACCGACTGCCTCGCGCTGCCGGCCCTGGATGCATACATGTACATACACGGGTTTGAAGCGGGGTGTGTGCGTAAAAACCGTTTTTGACGGTTATATTGCTGATTGTTGTGGGCGAGAAGGAGACAGCTGCGTCACGTCCAGAGCCCCGCTGGCTATCACAGTCTTCTCCGCCCATACCGAACAAAAGGTGGGCACCCTTCTCATACTGACCCGCGGATCCGTAACCCGCCGACGCACCCACTCGCTTCAGTTGCTCTCACGTTCCTTCCTCCTGCTATCTCCCTTCCACGGCTCAGAGACAATTGAGTCATTCATTCTTGATCAGGTGAAGGTGTGATTGATTGGTAACTCCTACTCCTACTCCTACTCTTAGAGCGCTCGGGTGTCTCAGTAAAGGATGTAAGGATGTCCCCTCCTGCTCACCCTTCCTTCGTCGCCTTGTCCTTCTCCCTGTCCCTCTCACGGCGAGCCTGTCGCTCCGCGTACCGATCCCGCGGACCTGGAGGACCGCCCCATGCGAGGTGGAGGGGGGAAGATGAACCCGCAGACGAACGAGCGAAGGTGATGCCAATGGCAGAATAATACGCCAGAAGAATATAAGAAAACATAACTAACCAGTCGCGACTTGTAAAGGAGGAGTCTTCGCAGTTGTGTAGTCATGAAGATAGCGGAGAATGATATACCTAGCCGCCAAGACTAAAATAAAAAGCCTGAAAGAAAGCAGAAGAAGAACTATCCGTAGTATTATAGAAGTAAGTGTAAAGGCGGGAGGGAGGGGGCATGGGTTGGGGGGAAGGCGTGGGTGCATGGGTGTGCGGGTGTGCGGGTCGGCGTGGGGTTGAGCGGTGTGTGGGGTGTTCAACAACACCGCGGCAGGCCTCTGACCGCTTTTAATCGCGGCTTGGTAGGTAGTTGTCCGTTGTCCGTTGGTTCGTTGTCCAAATGCGTGCAGCGGGTGTACGGAATGCGTCCAATGTTCTAAGTTCCCTCTGTCATGGCGAGGTATTATACATTTGCGTTCCTGGCGGTCGCAGTCAGTTCCGCCGTAGGAAACCAAACCAAGAACTCTCAAGACCCAGATCCAGACCCAGACCCAGACCCAGACGGGGCTTACGTGAGTAGCTTGAGAACGACGTTTCCGACCGACTGTCGATGTCCTGGGGTCGCGGTTGAGAAGGAAGTGGAAGGGTTTGGAGAGTATATACCGAAGGAAGAGCGAGTCCACAACGGACAAGTGCTTGTGCTTCTGCTGCTAACTGCTTCTGATGATGATGATGATGATGATGATGATGATGATGATGATGATGATGATGATGATGATGTTATTTTTGGTGTTGGTGATGGTGATGTTGGTGGCAAGGGAAGGCAAGGCCTTGCAGCTGCGGCAACCACACTGAGTGCGACAGCATGCGCTCTGTCCGCCCCGTGTGGCTACAGCAGAGCGCAGTAGCAGGGGACTCCAAACACATATCCGCACCGGCCCCCACGGAGCACACCGCGTGCACATCTTTGCAAACCACACATTCTGGCGGAAGGTGCCTTTGCACGTCCCACATGTACGACATGCATGTCGATGGGTCCCCGTACATGCCGTTCAGTTGACCCACCTCGCGTTTCTCGGGGGCTTACCTGGCTAAACTTTACCCGGAACACACACACACACACACACATTTTATCACACCGCGACAGTTCCCTCCCGGTCGTCTTCGCCACCACCATCGCGAGAGTGCGTTACAGAGTAACACACATAGCGATAAGTATGTGTGTACACATACACGTTTACATGTACACACATATATGTACAAACACATATACATATATATGGACACATCTACATATACGCACATACATATGCACACACATATTTGTACGCATCTGTAGCTCGGTTCGGTAGATGCCACGGCCCACTCTGAGGCACGTCACATTCCCCTTTTGCATAGGCCCATTGGGTAACCAACTGGCAACTGCCAACTGTAACTACCTGCCCAATCCTCACCTGGGCCCCTACCAGGTCAGCGCCCTGGCGACCTGATGCGGACTGCCGTACACCACCAACGCCGCGGAAGGACGAGCGACTGCCTTGCTGGTCCAGGAGACTCGGATTCCTGGGGCCCCCGGGGTTGTGGGGTTGGGGCAACAGGAAATATGTGATTGTGTGCGTGAGTGATCGTGTGCCTGTGTGCGTGTGTGTATTTGTTACATATCGCTCCGGGCCTGACGCTGGCCAGGGGCACCTAACCGTACCCCAACGGGAACGACAACAGAAGCATTCTCCTCCTTGTGGTGGGAGAGGGGAAAGACGGACCACGAGAGAGTGAAGCCGATGGGGGGAGAGGGGCGTGAGGGGCCACTATCCCCTCCTGCTCGACCGAGGGCATGCAAACCCGCGTTTCCCTTTTTAGTCAAAAGTGTGTGTGTGTGTGTGTGTGTGTGTGTGTGTGTGTGTGTGCGTATGGATATCATAGAAAGGTCAAAGAATAAAAGTACCGACATTCAAAGCACCTGCAGTGGGAATGACTTGCGCGGCAGCAATCCGGTAGCAGCTTAGCGGTGAAGTGG